AGTTATGTTACTTTTCGAGAAGTGAGATTGTTTTGTGAAGCATACCCATTACTGCCCTTGACATAGGTTAACCATGGCAATTAAAATTAGTTGTTCAAAATGATTTAAAGTGTTTTGATTTGTGTGTTGTCAACTTTTTCTGATGTCAACAAGCATACAGCAGTAAACTGAATAAAAATGCAAGCTAAAACCAGCCAAAAATGAGCTTTATCACGTTTTTGTTACAAGTGCTGCTGTCAACAGATCGGTGAGGTTGAGATGATGTTGAACATGTGGGCTACTCTAAGTTAGATTAAGTCGGTTAAGCGCATGGCAAGTGGCAATAGGCATTGTGCAAGAATCAGTAACTCACAACTGCTGCTGTGATACAAACAGGTTAGACAGGGTGAGATGAAGTAAGGCCTCTTAAGGCTAGGCATAGTTTGTTACCTTCATGGGAATAAGCATTGATATTTTGAAAGAAACAGTGACAAAGTGTTTGTTTTCCTTGACCCCATTTTAACAGAAGCCAGAGGTATGTCTATGGTGTTTGACTTGATGATGGGCTGATGTGTAGGAGTCCAAGGTTTTTGTTTGTTTGAGTGTTTTATGCTTGCTGAATTTTCTATTATTATTTTGTTATTAAATTCCCTTGCTTTGTCTTGTGTTAAAAGTGCGGTTGAAGGGAAGTGCAAAGTACAGCATCAACATATTGGTGTTAATAACTTTCATGCTCATTAGTAATGAGCATAAAAATGAGTGAGGGAGTGACGGTGTAATGAGACATTACACTGTCATGAAATTACGATGCTTTGATGTTTCTGTTTCAGTCTAATGGCCTGAGATGTTAAAAAACAAAACAGTTTTGTCAGCTTTCCGATATTACGTCCATGCCAACTTGAAATAGATGCCTTTGTTTGCTGAAGCATCAGTCACGAGATCATAAGTTCCATCTTTTGTGAATTTATTTTTTCACTCCTGCACGGTCTTTTGCGACGGAATTTTTCACTTTCACCCTAGTTCAAAAGCGATTCTGGCTCCCTGAGACAAACACAAGCCCCGCCCACTCGAATGTTAGACTGTTTCATACCAGCTACTGACTTTTGGAAAGCGTTACATTAGCCGTGCATCTGTGCCAATCAAATTTGGGAAGAAAAATAAGTTTGTGAGCTTAGAAGCAGTCACTTATCATCAAGTCGCAAGCTTAAAAAATAGCATCCCGCTTAATCCCTAACAGCCCGCACATTAACTAAAAAAGCCAGCGCACTAACAATATGTCACCTGCGCTGCGCGCCGCCATGTTCATGGACGCCCCGCCGTCTACGGAGATGTTAAACGTTTTGCGAGCCCAGTAGTCGACAAGTGTGACGTCACACGCTCCGCGTCACGAATCCACATGGCCGCCCCACCAGTCATAGAACAGGATTTCGACTACTGGTAGCACGATAGTTAAAATGAAACGCGGCCTTGGGTCATGTTAGAAAGCATGAGTTCTGCACCGGTAATGATAATGTGAAGATAATAAAGGTCGCCTGCACACTTAGCTGATTGTGCAATGACGTCACTAAACCTACGGTGATGCTGTTGCCAGGTGCTTGCAGAACCATGCTGTCGGTAAATATAGGACTACAGGGATGCAGTTTTGCAAAATACGCACGGTTGAGGGATGGAGGGTGTGGGGCACGAAACAGTGATTGAGTCTGCCTCCAAAATGTACTGAAACAGGGGAGCAGTTTCTCTCCACAGATTTGACGTACTTTCTTTTCACAGTTAGGAGCAGGGCCGTAGTTTTCCATAATTAGTTTGGGGGCTAAACCCTAAAAATTATGATGAATAGAAACAATGGTGACAAAATGATAAACAAAAATGGGAAACTACATTCATGGACAGGAGACACAATGCCCTCCCCCTATGTGAATAGGAAACTGCACGCCTCCAAACTGATTATGCAAAATACGTCGGGTTTGGAGATGGCGAGTGGGGGACAAGAACAAACGATCCCGCCTCCAAATGCGCTCAAAACAGCTTTTTTCGCCAATTTGACGCACTTTCTTTCCGCGGTTGGGAGCCGGTCTGTAGTTTCTCAAAATTAGTTTGGGAGGCTAAAACCTGATAATTATGATAAACGAAATATATAGAGTACAAAATGATAACTAAAAAAGACTACATCCATGGTTAGGAGCAACAATCCCCCCCCTCCCCTTATCTGAAGAGGAAACTACGTGCCTTCAGATTGGTTATATTAAGTATGTTTTTATCTGATAATTATTTTAGTTAAGCCTCAGTCATCATTCAGTTCCTAATGGCCATCAGATGGTACTTGTGCAAATGAACTCCCGAAAGAAAAGTGGCTGATGGCTGTGCCGCATTGCATTAAATTTGTCTTGTTTGTGGTTTACTGGATTTAGAGTTATATTGCAACGGTTTCTGAAAGACTCGGCCCCAGGTGACAATTCAGACAGTTCTAAATTTCGTCGGTGACAGCAAAGGCACTTTCTCACCCCTGAGGCGGGGCAAGCCGCCGTTTTTCGCCGGAACGGCCATGACTTCCTCCGAAGTGGGCCATCACATCAAATGGGAACGTCTGACCTCCGTCAGCCGAACAAGATGAATGGACGGAAAAGCCAGATCACCGGCGGAACAAGGTGCGCGCGGGCATCTTTGTCAGACATGTTTGGGAGATGTTGCCGCTCCGCCCCAAGAACCCCGCCGCGCCGCCGCCGCCGTCGCCACAGCTGGCATCAGAAGTGCCACGCCACGTGTAAACTTGGCCAGAAAGGGACGAGCAGGGCCCGCTCGAGGCGAAAACAGGCGGGCCTTGCTTTATCGCCGGTGACGCCACGCCCGAGATCTGGTTCAGGGGCACGTTGGGGGCCGAACTCTGGAAGCAGGCCCGGCGACTCATTGGACGGAGGGGGCGAGGCGGCAAAGCTATCAGACCGCGGAAGAAAACAGGGTCGGCCGAACCAGTTGAAAGAGTCTGCAGCTCTTTAGCTTTACTAAGCTAAGAATCGACGAGGTCAACTTCCGCCGGACCGTCAGACTCTCGTCCAACACGCAACACGCCGTCCTTTCCTGAAGATCGAATCGTATAGAGACCGTACCCGGAGGATGACAGGCACGGAACGCGCCCGACCAGCACGGCTCGACTCCGGCAGGGTTGAGGAGCCAGACGACTGCAGTCCTGCTTTTATTCATCTGTACGTTTGTGGGTAACGCTGCTCCGAAGCACGGCTTCGGTTTTTTTTACTAAGAGACGATCGCTCTGTTTCGTTGCCTCTCGCTTGACCTCAGGCATGACGGCATGAAGAGGCATAGGCTTATTCATGCCGTCACACACTGCCATACGACCAAGTACCAGTGAGGACCGCCCGGGATGCCGGATTATGCACGGCGGTAGCCAGATCTACCTGTTGGTGTACCATGCCTTGAGAGAGAACAGGACACAGCCTGCTCTCTTTCGGCGTGGTGTGCGCCAGGTCTTATGAGCGCTTGGTGGCGGGATGCTCGGAACGGATAGAGATCCCGCCATCGACGTTCATAGGAAGGGCGACATGGGACCGGGTCGCCAAACAGGTCGGTCAGGCCGAGGCACCAGAGCGTGCCGGCCGCGGAGACTGTAAGGTGTGAGCGATGGCTACGCCGGGAGCTCGCCGTCTGCCGAGGGGGTCCACCGTCCCAGCGGGCGCGCTGTCTACCTCCAGGCCTCTGAGGGACGCGCCGTGAGGCGGTGCCTTGCAAAGCTCGCTCCGGCAGGCGGGAGGCGAGGGCGTAAAAACGCAGGAGCCGGCACCTCCGTGCTGGACGAGGCGCTGCCTAAGGCGCGTGCGTGGCAGCGGAAAGCTGCGAGCGGTGGGCGTGACCGGAGAGATGATGTGTCGCCCCGCCATGGACGAGACGCAAGGGAGCGTCGTCCGAATAGCGGGCCTCAGCGCTGGAGATCAGGCGAGAGAACGAGAAGTCGTCCAGTCTCGGACACCTGAAGTTGGCCAAGTGGCTTCGTCGGTGCCGAGCTGACAAATTAATATGATATGATTTAAATGGAGCTCAAACGTGGCTTTGTTGAATGTTTGAAATGTGACGAATAAAGTGAAGTTAGCTTAACGAGGACTCACGCTGACCAGCCAGTTGCAATCTAAAGGAGCTGGATAGTGGGAAAGGTCCCATCCCTGTTGGGGTCGAGAATAAGTGGGGTGACGTGGGCGCCAGCGGATTTCGTTGCTTGGAGTGAGCGTGGTGGGGCGCCGAATGCGCGGAGTTCGCGTGGATATATTAAGGCCGAGGAGGGCTTCCAGGGTCGCTTCCAGCGGGCCCTTCCAGCGTAATTCGCCAGTTGCGTGTGATCCCTGGAAATTGAGCGTATTATCGCTGCATCTGGTTCCGTTCGTGCCCCGTTTAAATACTATGATCAACTAAAAAAGCGGAGGAGGAATGCCAAAGTTAAGGGCGCACAACAACGTGCGGGGAGACAGCCGTTCATAGTGCCTGACCGGACCTACCATCCCGCCAATGCCCCGGTCACCCGCCTAATCCTAGCTCTGTGGCTTACATGAGTGTGCGTTGATGTCGGGTGCGCCGAAGTCACAACGTGCCGTGTCATGTGCTAGCATCATCTGGCTCGTACGCTGACCAATGGGCTCCTCACCAGTAATTCATTCTTGTATGTAGGCTTGACAGCAGCAGCTGGCGACGCACAAACAACCAGCGGTGGCCCGGCGTTAGCGCAGCGCACTTATCCCAACCCAGAACCCCTCTCCCCTCCCACCACAAATACATCTTATGGATTTCGATTCACTCCCCTCGAACGACAGACTTGACATACTACTACATGGAGCCGGCCAGGGTGGCGGGAGCGTTGTGCGATGGCTCGAACTTTCGACAATGCTGACGAGATAATTAGCTTAGAAAATACGCTAGAGGCACCTTGATGCGCGAGGTGCCCCGCTGGGATACAACAACAAATGAATTGATTTAGCCCACGTTCGCGGCGGCGGCTAAGCCATCATCACGTGCAAACTGAATTCGCTTCGCATCGATCTTTATTGCAATGCTAGGAAATTGGATTTTGGTAGAAAGATAAGTCGTTGTTGCTGCTGTTCTGTCCGCATTTGTTTCCTTCACTTCCTTCCATAAATGTTTCAAACGAGGACTGGAGTTGGCGGAATATCAGCACACCATTCCCACACCATGGGACTGAGCGTCACATCATGTTTATGTTACCGAACAAATCACCACATCAGGCGGGAATCATTGAGCCGGGCCGTATTCAAGCGCGTTTTTCCCACAGAATGCAAATGCTTTGCTTAAAGACGGGTACATAGCTAGTCTATCCGGTCCAAGATCCAGTTCAAATACGAGGACACCCGGGTGAACACGCCGGGCACTTGGCCCTGGCACGAGAGGGCGCCATACGCCACCAAGCCAATCAAACTGCGCTGAGGCTCTGTCGTCATGAGCGGAGTCCCCGAGTCGCCGAAGCACACGTCGCGACCGTGCTCTCCGCCGGCGCAGAGCTGGCGGGGCCCGAGCGTGCCGCCCAGGCGTCGGATAATCTGCGCGCACGTGTCTTGCGCCACGCCCGGCAGCTGCACCGCCAGCAGGACGTCACTGGCCGGACCGTCGGGCGCCCCCACCCGGCCGAAGCCGGCCGCCGTCAGCTGCCGCCCCGTGTAGTTCTCACGCCCCACGTCGCCGAACGGCAGGCAGATCTTGCCGACGAAGTGGTCCTCGATGACGGGCCGGTCCAGCTTCAGCAGGGCGATGTCGTTTAGGCGCACGGTTGGCTTGTTGTAGTCGCGGTGCACTGCGAGCTCGGCGATTCGGAAGTCCTGCGGCGCGTTGCACAGCTTGAGGCCGAACAGCTCCGTCCGACAGTCGACGTCCTGAGAGACGTTATGCTCGCCGAGCCGCACCGTCTCCAGATGAAAGTCGGGCGGCAGGCCGGTGACGCAGTGCGCTGCCGTCAGCACGTGCTGCTGGCTGATCAGGACACCGCCACAGTCGTACGTGATGTTGTCGGAGGACGAGTGGCCGTACCCGAGCAGCGCCACCCAGGGGTATTCTCCCATGCGCACGCCGTGGCCGCCGGTGATGCGTGGGCTGAGGGTCGCGCCGCACACGCCTCCGCGGCTCACCACCGCCCGGTTCGGGTGCTCCTCCGGTGGGCCGTCGAAGGGGTTCGATCGGCTGTATGCGCAGCAGACCAGCACGAGGCCACGGCCGTTATCGCCGCATTGGCTGGCACGCAGGTTGGCGATCTCCCCGTCCGTCGGTCGGCGCCCGTTGGAGACGAGCCGGAACAGAGCCGGACAGTCCTGGATGGTGCCGCAGGTGCCGTTCCTTTTGGCGAAGTCCTGGCAGGCGGACGGTCCGCTCTGGCGCCGGGTGCGAGCAGCCGCCGAGCCGGACACCAGGGCACAGGCGGCCACCATCAGCGATAGCAGACGCATGGCGGCCGCAGCGACGAGTCACAGACCGCGACGGCACAAACACGAACTCGGCTTCTGTCGGCACTTCGGAGGCACCCCGCAGCTGTGCCTGCCCACGTATGACGCTATCGTTCTGTTTACCGCGGGAAACCCTCCAGCCACGGCAGTGTTTATGTCGGCGCTTGCAACGAGATCCAGCAGCGCAGTCACCACCAGTCAGCGCTGCTGTCAGAAGACCGGCTCCTGCCGCTCCCCGATAAAAATTAAGGCCATGTATGTAGAGATCAACACATGCCTATGCCTCCGGTCGAAAGCACCATGTTTTTCCCGCACCCGGTGGTTTGCCCACGTCCGCGATCGGTGGGATTTTCCATTTCAGTGACTTTTTTAATACAGCTTGCGGGCTGTGGGTATGGTATTTCCCTCGATGTACTGTCCGAGTTGAACGGATTGCAACTGCAGGCTGAACTTGACTCGTGCAAAGAATACGGGGAAAAAGTCACGGGGATGTGACGTAACTTTACAGGCATGTTATTAGGATGCACAGTAATCCTACCATCCTAGCATGCCAGACCTGCTGGCTCTATGAAACATACATATAAAGCTTACATATCTGAGCAGAATACTCACGATATGACTGGATATGATATAAATGGGCGGTTTTTTTTGCAACCTGGTCTGCACGGGCTTTCTAGGCAAACCATAAAGTACGAATTCATTGTGAATAGTAATGAAGCAAACGTAGTTTATTTTGAGCGAGTCGTTAACACGGCTATGCTGTTAATGATAGGGATTTCCCAAGATTATTGATCAAGGCAAAGGCTAAGGAGAAAGACAAACCAAGAACATAATAGGCAATAAATGATGTACGATATCACAATGATTTCCGCAACATTTGTATCATCTGGAGGGAAAATATTGGCCGGCCCGAACCAACCTGGAGAGAAAGCAGAAAACATTACAGAGCTACAGCCACCACAAATGAATATATTTGGGCGCCCTGATGCAGCGGCGTACTCACGCTGGCCTTTCGGATGCTGCCTGGCCGGAATGTCGGCTGGCGTCGTCGGTTTAAATGAACTGACCAAAGAAAAAAAAACCCATGCATGCTTACTTCTTACACCATATGCCATAAGCGAGTATATATAATATGTAGATATAAATATATATGTAGATATAAATATATACCCCGAGGTATATATTTATATCTACAAGGCATCATCTTGAATGCATGAGCCTACCAACTACGCTTTAAATGCATTTTCGAAATCTCCGCTTGTCGTCTGTCGCAGTTTCATCACATGGTAAAATACCGCACTTTACCTCTTACACAACATGCGACCACATGAAAAAGCTATTCAGACCACGGTGGAGCACTCATTGAACTGTATCTTTACATTTAAGAACAGTGCGTTTACATTATGAATGGCGTTGCCTCTAACACTAGCACGGGCCATCCCGCTTCAGCCGAGTCAGCGTCACTGCCGCTGGCTGTTGTCCACGATCCAGGGGATGTACTTGGACACCTTGGTGTAGATGCCCGGATACTTTGGGTTTCCGCAGCCCAGGCCGGTGGAGACGACACCGATCACCTGGTAACGATCGTCGGCGCCCTGGATCACCAGAGGGCCGCCAGAGTCGCCTTGACAAGCGTCCTTGGACGTGCCGTCGCGGCCGTTGGCGCATACCTTGGTGCCCTGGAAACCTCCGAGGAACAAGGTATCGAAAGACGGCGCCTCGCGGTAGTTGCGCTCGCACTGCGCCGGGTCCACCACCTGCAGACGCACCTCCTGCAGCGCCTCTGGCACGCTGCCGGCGAACTGGACCCGGCCCCAGCCGGCCAGGTCGGCCTCCTGACCCGTGTGGTCGGCGTCGGGCGGCGGCAGGCAGGCGGGCTGCACGCGCACGCCCAGCGCCGCCGGCCGGGACAGCAGCAGCAGCGCCACATCATTCTGCGAGCGCCGGTAGGCAGGGTGGAGCACGACACGGGACACGCCGAGGTCCTGGTGGCGGCCGTCTCGGGTGTGCGAGATGTTGTACTCGCCCAGCCGCACGACCAGCTGGGGCGGCTGTCGGCCGTTGACGCAGTGCGCCGCCGTCAGCACCGTGCTGGGGGCGATGAGCGTGCCGCCACAGGTCCAGCGCGTTCCGCCTTCCCTCCGCTCGCCGAGCAGCGCCATCCACGGCCACTTGCTCGGAGTAGCTGGCACACCACCGACCACAGCCGTTACGGGAATATTTCTTCCTATCTTTCGCAGCCGACCAGCGCTGCGGATGGACCTGCCAAAGACGATCCGACTGGGTTGCACTCGGCCGCAGTCTTGCACCAGCTGCTGGAAAGTCTCCGAGTCGTCCGGGGCCGCGGTGGTGGTCAGAATCAGCTGGTTGCGGGGGCAACAAACCTGTCCGTTGCAGCTCCGCGTCCGCTCCGCGTTGGCTTGTTGGCACTTGTCAGGTGTCACGCACGTTCCAAAACCCAAGTCCCGACTCGCACAGGTACCCGCAAAGCCGAAATCGATGGCCTGGCCCCGGACTAGCACCAGCATCACTACAGCAGCGGCCATTGAAGCGAGCATCATGCTGTGGCCACTGCTCAGCCCTGCTAAAACACCATTGGCCGGCTCCGAGTCGGACCGGCTTCAGATGGCCACGGTCGTTCCTCAAAGCGACGCAGAATACGCAGAAAAACGCGGTACTCGTTACTGTCTGACGTCATCAACACAAAGTCCGCTCACCCCAGAAGACGCCGTCCAGTGACATTGGGAGCTGTGACGTCACGGGTAAGTACGTCAAGCGCACCACGACGAACCTGTACAAATATATGCAACAAGCAGAATCAGCTCATTCCTCCAACGACGCGTGCATTGTGGGACAATGGGACATTTGAATATGATCACGTTGCGCAGCCATTGACGCGTAACGTCCCAGGTCGAGTGGGTAAATTGGAAGCAGTGAGAAGAGATTAAACTTCCCATCACGTGAAGCGTCCAGCACCGCGGGCGACCAAGGCCCGTCAGGCCCTGCCGGAGCTGGTGCTGCTGTCTGCAGTTGCAGTCGGGCGCGCGGTTCCCACTATCGCCAGGGCGCCACCAGCGCATGGCGATGCTGCTCGTGAGGAGATTTATATTGCCCCGTGCAGGCGGCGCCACAAGTGACATCACAAACGCATACCTGTACCGTGTACTTGCATCAGTGTGCACCATAATGCAATCTGACAAATCGGATATTCTCTAGACCGTCAGGTGTTTCAGTTCGTTGGTCAGCAGCTATGCTTTTTTGCCCTGACCTGAAGTTACATCGACAATGGGCATTGTCGGACGCCAAGGTGGTGCTGACAACTCTCGGAGCTCAGCGGACGCTTCAAAAGCACGTCACAATCAGCTGTCCAGTCCAGCACGCCGACACATGCGAACCTGGAGCACCACGCAGTCCTCCGAGGGGAGCCGTCAGCGAACATGTTCGTGAAGGGGGCACCACACGCTCGATGTTGGAGGAAGCTTTTGACCTTTGTAGTGTTACAACAGGATGCGTGTCTGCAATCCACCAGCAAGCTATTTTTCGGTTTTGCAACATTTTTTTCATAAATTATCTGTATGGGCTCTTCATCTTATTGAACACATCTCCTTTTTACGGCGCTCTTTGGTAGTAAATGCCTTTTACAACATTTTGCAATATGTCAACGAATACAACATTTTGAAGTTACACGCTTCATTGTTGCTGGAGCCATTAATAATAATCACCTGGCTCTCTGGTGCTCATTACGTTTTTCAATTTTTATAGCGGAAGACAAAAAAAGCTAAAGACACTTGGACGTCTAAGAGCCACAAGCGCCCATCGAGGTTGGCCTAGCTCAGGTTCGGCACATATCCTCGAAACTAATCTTACCGCCTGGCCGTCCTGCCTTTAACTATAGATGGGATCTTTAGAGCGATAGAACTTGCCCAAACATCTTTTAAATGTGGCCAGAGAGGGACTTCCCTCAATTTCGTTCGACGTTCATTCCAATGATTTCATTTGTTTGACGTCCAATTGCAATGATTCATTATTCTTTGGCGAAATGCATCTGCCTCCTCATAATCCTGCTCCTATATTTCGCTAAATAGCACTGGTTTCCTCTACGAATCGGCCTAATTTCCAGTGCCTCATTCTGATATTCCTTGTCTACATCGTTCATAATTTTGAACACCTCTATCAGACCCCTTCTAAGTCTACGACATTACAGTGAATACAAACCCAAGGCTCTAAGAGTATCTTTATATTCTAAGTCGCCAACTCCATCAATCATCCCACTTGCTTTTCGCTGTGCTCTTTCAAGTCTATTTTTATTTTTTTGCTAGCATGTGCACCAAGCCTGTACACAATACTTTAGGTATGGTCTGACATAAGCTAAGTGTAACTTTTTGACGACATTTCTATTCTTGTAATGAACATTCCTGTTAATGAGTCACATCATCCGAAGTGCCTTGCTGCGAGCAGCCTCACATTGCTTTTGAGCATTTCAGTTCCTGGAAATTATAAGCCCTATGTCATTTCTTCCACGATCTGGTCTAACTACCAGCCTCCCAAGTCAAAGGAAATGTCCTCACCGTTAAAACGATCACGATGCAGCACCCAATATTCGTCATAATGGAAGGACGTCTGCCACGGACAGGCACAGTTCCCTAGTTTATGTCAAGTTGATTCGGTTCAACTGGTTGGTATTCTTCGACATCTGTACCAGTTTCATATCTTCAGCAAATTCAAGCACCTTAATATCCTAATTGATCTCAACATTATTCACAAAAAGTAATGAGGAGTGACTTGCCAGCACCAACCCCTGTGGAGCCTCACTCTGCCACCTTCCACGAGATTTTGTACCATTGAGCACCACTCTTTGTTTCTTGTCAAGCAGCCAAGCCTTACACAGCCAAGAAGTTTTCTCTCATTGCTGTTTAATGTTGACTGATATAGCAGACACTTGTGTAGTACCTTATCAAACGCCTTACTTCAATCTAGATAACCAGCACCTAAATAATTGTCTTAAGTTAAGGAGCAAGCATCATCTTAAATGCCGCTGCTCAGCCCTGCCAAAACGCGACTGGCCAGCTTCAGTCCTGAGCGGCTTGAAGTGACCACGGTCGCCTCGCGAAGAAGCGCAATATGAACAACAACGCTGCGCTCGTTGCTGGCTGACGTCATCAGGACCTCCACAGGCAAGCGTCGTGTAATGAGATAGCGCCATGTGATGTCACGGTTAAGTAAATCAGACACACCACGAAGACGCTTGGCAAACATATGTGGTATGCGCAATCAGCTCATTCGGCCCACCGATGCGTGTATAATGGGACGGTGTGATATTTGGATGTGATCATATTGGCCAGCTGTAGGCTAGTTATGCGCCTAAAAGCAGCCCCGGTTGACCACGCCATTGACGAGTCGTCGTGAGGTGTTCATGTGCTCGATATCCAAGACCACCAGCCTTAAGCGGCCGTGACTGCTTAGCCGTTTCTGCGTAAACAGTCAAATCGTGTAGCACTGGCTTTGCCTCTCAGGAATGCGAAAAATTGGCCTTGGCGTTGGGGTCTCAGATAAATTAAGTAGATACGTCCCTGGTCGAATAGGTGCATTGGAAGCAGTGAGCACAGAATGGACTTCCAATCGCATGGGAAGTGGGATCAAAGCGCCAAACACCACGGGCGACCAAGGCCCGTCGGGCCCTGTCCGACCTGTGCTGCTGTCTGCAGCTGCAGTCGGGCGCGCGGTTCCCACTATCGCGAGGGCGCTACCAGCGCAGAGCGATGCTGCTCGTGAGGAGATTTATATTGCCCCGTGCAGGCGGCGCCACAAGTCATCACAAACGCATACCTGCACCGTGTACTTTAAACTAGGAGTTATTTTCGAGGAAGCGGAGACGTTTCGTTTGCAGCCTGCTCAGCCGCGGTGTCTGCAGTTCCGTTGCCAAGCATGCCGACGTGGATCGGTATCGACAAGAAAATCACCTCCTTACCGAGCGTAAGCAGTCGGTGCGATCGCAGACAGATGCTTCGTTGCAGTTGCGAAAACAATGATTAGATCGAATTCATAGCAAACAAAGATTTGACCGAGTCTGTCACTATATGAGATCGTCTACTTCGGCACGACTTGACGAAATTCGAACCTGCGTATATCGCATACAGCTCGGCGGTAAAAGCGACCATCCCTGTTGGTAAATAGAAGCAACTAGTAACATCACATACGAATGCACACCCCGTCAACTGCGCCACTTGGACCCACATCAGTGCACACCATAATGCAACCTGGCAACGTCGTTGGTCAGCACCTATGCTCACACAAAGAAGAACGAGGCGGTGTCCACATAGACGCGCACATATCACATAATCCCTGCATCACAGACACCAAAAAGGTCACGCTTCTAGATGGATTCAGTCAATGTGAAGCTAGCGCACCGACTCCGCGTCTGGTATTAGAACAACAATCACAACACCCGTCAGCTGCATGTTATCTATGCAGCCCTCCTTTAATCCGGCTCCCCAAGCTCAGGTACCGGACCGCACTCGTCGCGGGAGCCCGTCCGATCAGCCGTCCACCCGGTCCAGGATCCAGTTGAGGTACTCGGAGACCCGGGTGTTGACACTGGGCACTCCCGGAAAGCCGCAGTGGATGAATCCAAACGAGACGACGCCGATCAGACTGTAGGGCGGCCCGCTGACGGCCGACCAGACCAGGGGGCCGCCCGAGTCACCCCGACACGAGTCGCGGCCCGTCTCGCCGCCGACGCAGATCTGTTGCGGTCCCAGCGTGCCGTTCAGCTGGCGGACGGTGTCGCCGCACGCCTCCTGGTCTACCCCGGGGACTCGCACCTCCAGCAGCACGTCACTCTTCGAAGAAACCACAGTGGGCCCCGTGCGGCCGAAGCCGGCCACAGTCAGGTTAACTCCGGTGAAGTTTTGTCGTCCGACGTCGCCGAACGGCAGGCAGACCTTGGAGACAAAGTTGCCCTCGATGACGGGGCGGTCTAGCTTCAACAGCGCGATGTCGTTCATAAAACGGGCCGGTACGTCGTAGTCCTCGTGAACAATGGCCTTGACGACTGTGAAGTCTTGCGGCGGGACGTTGCATACCCTTTCTCCGGTTGCCGAGTTTTGGCAATCAATGGGCTGGGAAAGGTCATGCTCACCAAGACGCACCGTCTTCAACTGAAACCCGAATGGCAGGCCGGACACGCAGTGGGCCGCAGTTAACACATACTGTCTGCCGATGAGGGTGCCTCCGCACTCGTACCGCACCTCTTCCGACGGAGCCTCAGTGTACCCAAGCAGCGCCACCCACGGAAACTTGCCGAGAGGCACCTCCGTGCCGCCGATGATGCGCCCAGCGAAGTTTAGGCCACAGGCTTTGCCGCTCTCCAGCACCGCTCTGTTTGGATGTTGCTCCGGGGGACCGGTGAATGGTCCGTCACCGGACTCGGTGGCGCAGCAGACCAGTAGACGCCTGCCCCGCTCCCCGCATTGACTCCTGCGCAGGTTGGATATCTCCTCGCCCGTCGGTCGGCGCCCATTCGCGACGAGCCGGTACAGAGGCGGACAGTCCTGGATGATGCCGCAGGTGCCGTTCCTTTTGGCGAAGTCCTGGCAGGCGGACGGTCCGCTCTGGCGCCGGGTGCGAGCAGCCGCCGAGCCGGACACCAGGGCACAGGCGGCCACCAATAGCGACAGCAGACGCATCGTGGACGCGGCGGGACACAGACTGATGGCAGCTGGACTGGCGCGATCGACCCTCGTAATCGTGCAGCCGATCTCCGCCCGCGCCCTCGCGTCCGCAGTGACTGCCGGGGCTCAGGTGCTCAATGTTTATAAGCTGCGCTCTTGCCCGACCAGATGTGCCCTGGCGACGCTGCTGCCCCCTGTAGGCGCTCCGCGTAGACACAGCACCGTCCGAAGAAGGGCTCCACGAACTGTCTCCGCCGGTTCGCGCGGACGCGGCCACATCTGCCTCAGGTAGTCACGCGTCCCGAGGAACGTGTGACGTCACCGCTCGGCGGTGGAAATCCCGGCTCACGTGCGGTAGGTACGGTAGTCTACCGAAGGTGACTGCGGCGTGGTGGTGAGGCTGGCGATGTAGATCTCCCCGACACTGCTAAAGTCGTACGTGGTAGTGGGTAATGGGTGGAACCCTGCCCATGTCACGAGAGCGTGTCACGTGGACCAATGGGAACGTGATACATTTCTACCTTGTAATGCCTCGGCAACAGTCTGGCCAACTTCGTTGCGGTGTATGTAGGGACTGGAAAACGTGTGGAAAGCTTTGACTCAAGGGGCCTAGCCACCTCCACGGAGTAACTATGGCCTCCAAAACGAGCGTGATACATTGTTATCCTGTAAAACCTCGGCAGCGGCCAGGTGAACTTCGTAGCGGTGTATGTAGGCCAGGTCGCCAGGTTAGCTACTCCTTGGCTTTGTCACTGCCAGTATTGCGTTATTTACCGCGCCGATTTCCGTGATATCCATTGCGTCATATGTTATCGGACCCGCACGCTGGGACTCATTCCGAAGCTAAAGGGTGTAAAGAAAAAACCATGTCTTGATTGCAAATGCCCGTGGAATAAAGACGTGAAGTCACGTTGACGACAAGTTTAATGAAGAAGGTTTAACAAACCATAAAGTTTTTACCATATGGTTTAGATATTATGTCACCATGTAGGGAATCCTTCTATAGCACGCGCTCTAGGTTAGCGATTTTTCGTAAGAGGCAAAGGTGTGCACGCCTTGCCATCTCATGATAACCTTAGTGCACGTATCACACGGGATTTTGCGCACCCCTGACTGATGATCATTCTCTGGTCGCCAAGGTTCCGAGTGCTCCTCTTATTGGAACAGGATGTCTGTAAACCCCATAGATAAAAACCTTGAGAGACCAGATACGGAGAATCAGCCGGCCTTGGGATGTCAGCCTATCGTCTTATGATTCAGACTCCGAAGTGGTCCTCCAGCCCTGCCATGACCATTTTGGCGTAGGGGGAGTCACCTTGTCATGTTGAAGCCGGATGGTCTCTATTTTGCTCCGGAGTCTTGTTCCAGCTGCCTCTATAAGCGCTCAAGTATGCCGAACGTACCGTTCCTCCCTCCACTTCAGGCGGTTGGGAGTGGACACCGTCGCTGAACGAGACGCTGTTCAAAAACCCGCGGTCGACTTCAACCTCGGTGTTCAGTGAAGTGGCAAATGTCATGCATTGTTTTCCTATCGGTTTCTGTCTTCTGCATCGGCTTCTGGTGCATTCTAGAGTCCAAGAAAAGAAACGAACGCCACGACTGCAAAAGACATGTGCAAGTAGAAATGGCTGGGCCATTTTGGACGAACTCACGGCCACGGTACGTTTATCCATCACTAACACTGTCAGGTGTTTAGGGTAATGTTGAGACAAGGCTGCAATTATACGAGACTAAATTTGAAAAACCGGAAAGGGCAGCCTTTGAATGGGACCGGCATGAGGCAAAATTTAAATATATGTATATATATATATATATATATATAAAATGAGAGCTTAAAAATCTGACCGAGTATGAAAACAGCTTGATGCGTATGAAAATAAGGTTCAAAAGCTTGAACGTCCAGGACTGAATCCGGAGGGATGGGGGATGGGCAACACGGGGCCATGGCGCGCTCCCTTAGGCCCACGAGGGGTCCGAATGCTCCGAAGAGGCTCATAGCAGGCGGAACCAAGGTAGGTTTTTACACAAAACGCAACAAAATTTAAGGTCTTTGGACTTCCAAACGACGAAGAGCAGCCGCACACGAAAATGAAAGACCCACGAGTAGACGAAAATCGTTCTTCACTGATTGCGAGGGTGGTAACTGGGAGGTGTTACGGACCATTACGCTGTCCAGAGACCCCACTCTGTTTCTGGGGGCCATATATGCCCACTTGCAGACTCGATCCGGTCGTCAAGGAGCCTGACACGTTGCCCTCGTTTGTTTTTTGAATTTGCTCGGGAGCCCTGCGCTGTTGTTGGGGGCCTTCCTGCGAGCGTGCCAGGACACTCTTGTCAATCAGGGGTCTTCCACTGATTCTTTCTAATCGCTCAAAAGACTATACGCCGTAGCCTAGCCGACGGCCACATAATCCTCCTGACGACCAAAAACAATCACAAGCGAACGCGAACAGCCCGTGGCAAAGCCATTTCTTAACTTATTGAGAGGGTGGTGGTTGGAAGACATTTTGACGCTCATTGTGCTGTCCAGGGGCGTTACGCTGCTGCCAGGACCCCATATCTGCATTAGGTGGGTCAATCCCATTGCTAAGGAACCTTCCACGATGTCCTGTTTTGCATTTTCTCGTGGGGCCCTACGCTGCTGCTGTGACACTTTCTGCTGACATGCACAGGCACTCGTGATCGATCAGCAGCCCTCCTCGGATTCCTCCATTCTCCCGAAAAGCTCTATACGCTTTGGTCGGGCCCCATATACTGGGATGCACTCAGTTGCTCAGGAGCCGTTCACATCAGTCTGGAATGATTTTCACTTGCTCGCAGGGCCCTTTGCTGTTTCTGGGACCCATATAAGGTAAGGCACCTATCTTCTCGATGCTCAGCAGCCCTCTGCATTGATCTGGGGCCATCTTCCTTTGATATTTATTGCGGAGTACTCTTTACTCCTATCGGAGCCCTTTCCATTAACCTGCCCAGACACTCTTGATCGCACAGTGGCATTAACCCACGCATGCTGGTCTTGAGCGAAGCCTCTTTGCTCAGAGGGTCCCGTGCTCTCGCCGGGGCCATTATGTCAGCCTGCCGGGGCACTCCCGATCGTTCAGGGGCACACCACGTTAGTCTTGGGTTCTTCCCGCTTGCTCTGGCAACCCTTTACTTGTTAACGGAAGCCTCTTTTTCCGCCTGCCGCGGCATCCATGATCGTTCAGGCTCCGTCCCTGTTTGCTTCGATGCTTTAGCATAAGAGCACTAGTCGGATATGCGTCAACGAATTTTTACGCATAATTGTCGAACACAATTTTACGTGCTGCAGACGTCGTATCGGTTATTTCCGTTGGCGATTGAATTCGTTAACGTTTTATAACTGTACATCACGCTCTTAATGTATCTCAAATGCTAGGATCTTATGTCCTCCTTCGTTGTAAATAAAGCAAAACCTCTGCATTAGTAATCAGCCATCAGGTGATCACATCAACCGGCTGGCTAGCTGTAAATGGCTAAGAGTGAATTCCGTGCAGGAATTTAATGGTACTGAGCGGCCAACTTTAGTTTATTTTGCCATTTTTTCCAAAGACATTAGCCTCAAAATGGCGGGATTCGCCATGATCTGAAGAAAATGCGTATTCTATTTTCCTAGTACTGCGCGCATTTAGATGGGTTCCCGCAAAAATAGCATGCTAAGAAACTTAAAATATATTAGCCGGAGTGCGATAACTTTTTGTTTGGGGGGGGGCTTACCTTGCCTCACAGTGGTGTGTAGTACCCCTGACAAAATCCTGGATCCACCCCTGTGAACGTCACAGCCGTTCTGCAAACCTTATCATCATGATGATTGAACGTTTCGATAAGCAGCGCTAGGGAGAAGATGTTGAGAACATGACGATTTTAACACCACGCGAATGCTTCCCGGCTAAGACCATCACGCGAGAAGATTTCACAGTCATCCACCGCTTGCCGGGAAATGATCCCGTGATCTACGACTTAAACCACAGAGAAGTGCGCAATGAATTATTCGAGGAGCAAAACAAAATTGAAAAAACACCCCAAGAAAAAGATATGCCTGAATGAGTCGCTCACGCAAAAAGCAAGCAGGCAACCTATTATCAGCTTCTCCGGCTGAACCGATACATTAAAATCTCACTAAAGCTCACAAATATTCACTGTTGTGTTCAAGAGATTCCAGGATTTCCCATCCGTTAGGATCTACTCCATAAAACAGCTGAACGGCGTAATGCGTGGGCCACCTCATGCGCAGTCCGCGGTCGGGCGCGCTGACTCTGCAGAGGCCTGCCCACGAGCATCGGGGTCGGGCGCCGGCCACCCAGGCGCCCAGCGGCCCGCCGCGGCTGCGCCGGCGAGCCGCGCCTCGCCCGGCGGCCCGGTGCCTGCGGCTGCTCTGCAGTCACCCGAGTCAGCGTGTGTTGCTGTGGCGGCTACTGGCGCGGCGCCGGATGCTGCTGCGCTGGCGGCTGGCTCCTCGTCCGGCGTGTCTACGCCTGCGGAGCTGGTGGCTGGTGGATCGTCGGCAGTTGGCTCGCCTCCTGCCCTGACGCTGCCGGCTGCCACGCCGGCCAGAGATACGCCCACCGCTGGAACGGTCGGTCACCGCGAGAGCGGCGCATCTGTCATATAGCAGTAGCTCCTTGATCTGTCATATAGCAGTAGCTGCTTGATCTGCGCGGGATGCCGTGGAGCTGAGTAAGAATGTAATCTTTTGCATTCTGTGCCCAAATGCTGTGTTTTTGTTCTGTGCATGCGTTAAAGTTTGCCTACGTTGAATCCTCCCATTACTGCTTTACTTCACCTGTTATAAAATCGTTGTTTAACCATGGACTTGGTCTGGCTTTACGCATTGCTTTTCATTGCTTTTGGTATTCATTTCTGAACTGCATAACCCAGTTTAGCTAGGGTGCCACCGTGCATGGGGCGGCAAGTGTTCCGTTGCATGACAGCCTAAAATAATCCAACGGATGTGGTGTGCTGCTAACGCTGGCTGCCGAGCGCGAGCTCCAGTTTGCGGAAGCCGCTGTGACCTAGCAGTCGCGCCATCCATCGTTGTGCCAGCAGCGGACGCAGCTGTTCCGGCGAATCGTTTCCCCGCGAGGCT